ATCTTCTTCACCTTATGTCTCTGGCAAGCCTTTTTACATGCGTGTGCTCTGCAAAATACAACATGTTTACAGCATTTGTGTTCATTAAGGTCTGCTAAATTTTAAGCTTGTAACAAAGACTTTGTCTATAATATTGCATAACTCTAAAAACTTCAATCCTAAGTTAGTATTTTTAAAAAAATCTTTTACCAACTTTTCTTTTACGCTATTCCAATTTCCATCAATAGGAGGAAATATTAGTTACAACAAATTGAAGAAATTAACGAGTCCTAAATGTCTTTGATGTTTAATAAGAAAATCAAAACATTTAGTGGGTGTTATTGGTTCCTAATTTACAAAGAATTTTGATGACTTTAATAAAATAATAGAAAGTAAACAAATGAAAGATTCTAAACTATTGTTAGAGAGTTTTTTATAGTTTTCTATAATCTTGTTGATTAGTATGTCATAATCTTGTAAAGTTTCCCAAACAATCTCTCTATTTTGATGATACTTTTCATGACTTTGTTTTGTGAAGAAAAGTGTAGAAAGTCATAAACCAATAACATAATAATTTAATTCATTAACAATCATAGATTCTTTTGTTGTAATTGAATAACACAAAACTTTTAATGACTTTATAAAAGTATGAATCCAATAACTCCAGATTTATGAAGATTTTAGATTACTTTTTACAAATCTTAAACTAATAACACCAAACTTTAACAAACTTTAAAAAAATCTTGATTGAATAACAACAGAGTCTACATAACATTTAAAGTCACTAAAACTCTATTTAAATCACAAACCAATCACAAACTCTATTTAAATCACAAACCAATAACAAACCAATAACAAACCAAAAAACATTTTAAAAAAAAACATAAGTGTTAAAAATTTAATTATGTAAACCATATTGAACCTAGAACACCTCTTAGGGGTTTGGATAGTTTACACAAAATTTAAAAATTTAACACTTATAAAAAAAACAAAAAAAAAACAAAACATTTAAAAAAAAACATAAGTGTTAAAAATTTAATTATGTGTAAACCATATTAAACCTAGAGCACCTCTTAGGGGTTTGGATGTTGTATCCAATTAGTTTACACAAAATTTTAAAACTTAACACTTTTAAAAACCAAAAAAAAAACAAAAATAGATTTGAAAAAAACGTTTAAAACCACTAAAACCCGTAAAAAAAAAAAACATGAGAAATAATTTTGTACTTTTGGGCAATTAAGCCACCAGTCGGGCCTTCGTGGAAAGCCCATTACTGTTTGTTTAGAATGCAAATGGATAGCTTTATTTATAGGGTCATAAGTTAGTAAATGTTTATTCCTTTTTCGATGTGGGACTCAATTGTTTCTGAAAACGTATTGGGCTTTTCGGCGGAAAGATATAATTGGCCCGGTCGTAAGCCCAAAAGTTAAAAGACATTTGATTATTAGTTACTAATATACCCTTGAAAGAAACGAAAGAAAAAACACAAACTAGTTTTACAATTTGTTAAGGACCAAGAACATCAACCCAATGAATAATTGATCAATCCAATGAATAATCACAGCCTTTCATAGAAGAGCAAGCTAGCTTCAGCACCAAGAACATCACTCTCTGAAACTCTGCAAACTTCTGAATCAGATATACTAAACCAGCTCAATTCCTCACAATCTTCTTCTTCCTCTTGTGATGACACTCTCACACTTCTATAAACAGTGTAATGCCCGCTTCCGGTTCTACCAAAATGTTCCACCACCGTCACAAGCCTGTATATGCCATGCTTTCTTGATGCTTCTGGCTTTTGGTACTCTGACGACATCTCAATCCTTTCTTCTATGTTTAAGCCTATTGAAGTTGGTGTGAACAAGGAGAGGTCTAAGACAAGGGGAAATGCGATATGTCCCTATACAGATAAACTGAGATTAGAAGGAATAGAAACTAGAACTCGGGACATGAAATGTAGACAGGAAAGAGAGATAACAAGACTCCTACCGATAGTTTGAATTCTTCAAACATGTTAAATGAAGCACGTTGCACTTGAATGCATAGGAGCTGTAACAATTTAGCTAGAGAGGGTCAAAATGGGACTCAGAAGAAAAGAGATTATGATATTACACTGGATTCAACTTTAATTTCAGGTCTAGTTTCAATGAGTAAGTAAATACCTTTGGGAAACGGGCGATGATTAACTGCTTCAATATATGGGAATAGCTGTTTGACCAAGGCATTCTTTGAAGATGATGAGAAGTTTTACAGTCACATTGGTCCTCTCCGCCACAGCTCCTGACCTTTTCGATATCTATCTGATTGAAACCGTTTCAAGTACACAAGGGTCAAATAGAGTCGAGAAGCATGTACAATAACGATTAAAGCTGAGAGATTAACTACCTCAGCTGCTCCTATCACAGATAAATATTTCAGTGCAGCACCATGCCAGCATCTATAGCAGAAGTAGTTTTCGACTTTCTCAGCATCGAGAAACTTGTTCAAGCAATTCTCCAGAGTGCATCCAAACATCTAAGAGCATTCCAAAAGGAAAAACCTATTGAGAATTCTTTTCTTTCTGGAGAAGTTTCATATACACAGAAGCAAAATAATATAGCAATAAGAGAATGAACCTTCCGTAACATACAATGTTGTAACCACCGTTATGGAGTAAAGGAGAAAGAGGCAAAGTATGAAAAAACTGAAACTCCAACGAAATCTGCAGAAAGCAAGAAACTCAAATAGGTAAATGTTTACTGATGAGATTGAGCAATAGCAAGAGCCACTTTACTGGTGAGATTGAGAAATCTAATCCCAATTACCTGAGATGAACAAGTTCGACACATCAACGTACTACCAAGAATCCCATCGAATGGTCCGCGCAAATGTTTATGCCATCTCTTGAGCTCCATCAAACCATGGAGGCCTTCACTAGGTGCAAGCATTCTCAAGTTGCGAGAAAAAAGTATATCCGAAAGATTATAACTTTGGCTAGGACGATAACAAACTACAATCTCTTCTTGCAATGAAGAAATAAGATGAAGAAGGGCTTCTGCTGCATCCTATGTATCAACAAGATCATTAGCTCTTAGAAGACGACCACCAACTCAATTACCCTTTCGGTCTACTAATAGAAATAGAAAATTAACCTGTTGGCTTGTCAAATTGAAATTTGTGGCATAATCTGTCAATGCCACCATAACTTTCCGAGGGCTAGATACAGATCGTCTACTTCCAACTGTGCAGAGCTCTGATGGTAACCATTAACAAAAGATAACTCTCATTATCAATTTTCAACACAAGATAAAGATACAGAATTAGGAATAATACCTTGTAGTAAAGCAGACAAAGCAAAAGTAAGAGGAAGCTGTTCCTCTAGTTCTCCTGCTACGGAATCTCTCGCATCATCTAAAACCCATTGAAGAAAACTCCGAAAATCTTTGCAGCTAGCGAGAGCCTGAAAGTCAAATTCACAATCAAAACTGTTCAACAAAAAAAAGATCACAAGCAAATTCAAAGAAGAATTAATTAAAAGCATTACCTGGAGGATGACATTGAGGAAACAGTTATTCCCGAGATTTTGAAGGCCAGGTACGAGAAAAGAATCGTCTCCTGCGTCTTTTTCTTTACCGGAGAAGAGATTGAGGTTGTTTAAGTTGCGGAATAGACCGTGTTGTTGGGCAAATACAAAACCAGCCGCACCAAGTAGACCAGCGAAAGACAAATGCGAAACCCAGTTGTTGGAGATCCTAATTCTATCTGTGAAGATACACACAATCGCCTTTGTGTCGGAAGAACCTCTACGAGAAACCATACTCCAAAATAACAGGGAGAGTTAAAATCGCCTATACCTCTCCCTCTCTAAGTCATTCCGTCTTACTGACTAAAAGGCTTGAGAAACCTCTCGGTGGATTTTTTAATACGCCGTACCAAAATCCCGATCAATCGGACAAGGTCGGCGCCCAAAAGTCCAAGTAATTTAGGTCCGTATTCTTTCGTCTGAACCATTTAATAATGATATCTTTTTTGTTAATTTATATGGCAATTACAACTAATTTTTCTAATTATTGTAATTTATATTCAAAAGTTAGGGTGATTTTTTTAAAGTCTACAAGAGTTTGATTTGTTGAAATTAGTAATAATTGCTTTCAGAGATCAACCATTGATTCTTTGAAGCTCAACCAAAATTTCTGTCATTAGCTTTGAAAATTCATAAATAAGCAAATCATTGTCTTCATCACCTAAAATTCATAAATAAGCGAATCACTGTATTTCATTACCAATGTACCAAATAGTTTACAACATACAACGATAGATAGACTGATAAATAAACCAGACACTGATTTTTACACATTAAAAAAAATTACTAAGAAACCATGAAAGAACTCTTTATCCAAATTCCAGCAAAGCGATGAAGCTACCACCAAGAAATTACCTGCAAATTTCAAAACAGAAAAAATAGATAATAATATACACGAACTAAACCATTTAAGAAAAAAATAATCAATAGATTGAATAAAGATCTCAGACATCCAAGGAAGGATAAAGCTGCATTAGCTCTCAAGCCCGGCGAAAGGCGAAAGCTTTAGACGGCAACTGCGAATGTTTTGAGAAACAAGCCTTAGATTTATCATCATTGATCTTTCTTGAACACAAAAACTTAAAACGAGAATTTTATAACATTGATCGGTTTCAGACATCCAAGGAAGGATAAAAGCTGCAATAGCTCTCAAGCCTGGCGAAAGGCGAAAGCTTTAGGCGGCCACTGCGAATGTTTTGAGAAACAAGCCTTAATATTAATCCTCATCAACCGAAAAACAAACAAACAACAAAGACCACAAATCAAACAATTAGAACAATGATTTAGTATTGGTCTCAGACATCCAAGGAAGGATAACAACATCATAAGCTCTCAAGCCCGGCGAAAGGCGAAAGCCTTAGGCGGCCACTGCGAATGTTTTGAGAAACAAGCCTTAAATCTTATCCTCATCGACCAATATATAACAATTCAACTAAAGAAATCAAAATCGAGATATTATGTATTTCCCATCATATAATGATCAGCAAGAAACCAATTAAAGACTGCTGACAAAGTGACAGATGGATCAAGATTTGAGGGACTTTGTTCAATCCTATTAAGCACTAAGAAAATCAATTCTGCTAATGGGACATTGAAAAACTCAGTCCCAAATCTAAAACCCTAATAAGAAAACAAAACAATGCAAGTTTAGACTAAAAAAGGTTTCAGACATCCAAGGAAGGATAAAGCAGCATTAACTCTCAAGCCTGGCGAAAGGCGAAAGCTCTTAGGCGGCCACTGCGAATCTTTGAGAAACAAGCCTTTGGATTTATCATCATTAACCTAAATCAAATCACTAATAAGATAACTCTAACGAATGCTACAATGACTGAATTAACAAGAAAGATAGAATAGACGATTGCAAAAATCGCTGAGATTTAGAGGAAGAGGCCTCCGATTATGAAGAATTAGAGGAAGAGGTCTTTATATAATGAGAGAGAAGAGGCGTCCGATGATTAGGGTTTTGTTCTCCCTGGCACGATCAACGGTGGAGATCTATCGTTTTTTATTTCCTCTTTTCTCTTTCTTTTTTTGTTCGGTGCGTCAGTAGAACAATCGAGATGTTTATTTACAGTGAGTAATGGGCTTTATTGATATTTAGGTTCGGTCCAGAAAATTTGGGCTTATAACAAACTCATAAATAAATAAATACCTTGAATAACTTTATTACACAAACTCAAACTGTCTTCAACCTCTTTATTCGAACAGAAAGAGATTTGTTGACACACCCCGATAACAAGATAATCTTAAAGACTTGGACGACACTATACTTAATTAACTATACAAACCAACAGACGAAAAAGAAAGGCACTAGTGTAAGAGAGACTCGCACTTTTGGATCAGCTTTTAAGAGTTTTGTTGGTTCCTTCTATTGTTTGTGTTGTTTTTAACTTCCACAAGAGAGACACTCCTCACGGTTTGTCAAAGAGCAAACCATCTGTGCCATCTTTGTCTCGTTGTCTTCTTCTGTTGCTTCTTCGTCCTCAGTTAAATTAGGCTTCTCCTACACAACCAAACAGAATTCACAAATAAATGTAAATTTCGCTGTCTAAGTAACTAGAGAATCACACTGACACAAAAGTGTTGTTTTACCTTTAGCATTGCTGTGTCTACTGTGAACTTTATCGCATCGGCTGCAGCACGTGATCGCAGGTAGTACATTCCCGTTTTCAAACCCTTTTGGTATTCACAAAAATAACAATAGTGAGACCGGGTTTTACCACAAATCAAGACTAAGTATGAGGAAGTGAGTTTCATGTATAGATCAGGTTATACAAGCGAGGCAAATAATAAAATAAAACATTCACTTACAAGTGCAATCATACTGACCATTTTAAGAGTTAAGATAAATTTTTACCTTTTTCCAAGCGTAGAAGTGTAAAGAAGTTAGTTTTGCAAAGTTTGGCTTTTCCATGTGTATATTCAAACTTTGGCTTTGATCTATAAAGCATCCACGATCGGCGGCCATGTCAACCACTGTTCTCTGCTTAATCTCCCAGACAGTCCTGAGTCATTTTGCAAGAGGGCACACAGGTTAAATTTTATGAACACAGATTAATGATGGCATAAAAAATAAGGAAGTTCTATACCTGTAAATCGCTTTCAAGTCGTCAGGTATCTCCTTGACATTCACGATAGAACCATTCTCATGTATTATCTTGTTTTTCAGTGTAGGAGACCAGAGTCCCATATCAGTCAAGTCATGAAGAAGATGCTTGTTCACTACTACGAATTCACCACTGAAAACACAAGACCAATGATTAAGCCAGAAACATAACTTTCTGGAGCTATTTTATTTGCTTGAAGAACATACCTTAAGACTCTACGACTGTAAATGTTTGAGGTATAAGGTTCAAAACATTCATTGTTCCCAAGAATCTGGCTGGTTGAAGCAGTTGGCATTGGTGCCACCAGAAGAGAATTTCTGATTCCATTCATTGAAATCGTATCCCTGAGAGTAGCCCAGTCCCAGCGATCTGATGGAATTACATTCCACATATCAGGTTGAAGAATTCCCTGAAAGTAGATCCACAAACCAAGCAATTAGGAACAAGAATTTATGACAACATTGTACATATCTCGAAAGGATTGCTGGTTGTGATGCATACCTTACTCACAGGACTTCCTTGGTAAGTTTCATATGTACCCTCCTTAGTAGCAATCTCTGAAGATGACTTGAGTGCATGGTAGTATATGGTTTCAAATATGTCTTTGTTCAGTTGTTGAGCCTGGGATTCATTCCAAATAACTTTTTCAGGAAATAGATCAAACTACTTTAAAAAGTTGATCAACTTATGCTGAGTAAGTTTACCTCAGGGGAATCAAATGGCATTCCGAGAAGGATAAATGCATCTGCAAGACCTTGTATACCAATACCGATAGGCCTATGTCGCATGTTTGAGGTTTTTGCAGTCTCCACTGGATAATGATTCACATCTATAATCTTGTTAAGATTAACAGTCACAGTGGCAGTCACCTGACGAAAAATAGTAAAAAGATGAAGTCCATATCAAATTGCACAGACATTGAAAGCTAGCAAAATGAACCAAGTAACTAAGTCCTGACCTCTGCTAACTTGTCGAAATCAAAGTAACGATTCTTTGAGCCCAAACTGCCTACAATCTTAGACGGATGTGCGTCCAAGGGGATGTCCTGTTGTGAGATGTAAGAAATATCAAGAGTTATGCACTAAAAAGTGACCAAACAAAATCAAAATCTGAGAACACTTTTTTGACTCACATTCTCCCTTACAAACCGGGGTAAAGCAATAGATGCAAGATTACACACAGCCGTTTCTGTTGGACTTGTGTATTCAATGATTTCGGTGCATAAATTGGAAGACTTGATGGTACCCAGATTTTGTTGATTGCTTTTCCTGTTACATGAATCCTACAGAAGAAATTCAAAAATCAAAAATGTGAACCACAAAAAATATGTCTGTACGGAGTGGCCACAAAATTGTAACTGTTTCTTACCTTGAAAAGCATGTATGGTGTCCCTGTTTCTACTTGGGATGTCAAGATTTCATACCAAAGCTGCTGTGCCTGGATAACCTTCTTGGCCTTTCCCTAAAGATACAAACAGAGATGCTTCATGACTGGTATTAAGATAACAGGAATTCAAAAGGAAGCAGTATTTCCAAAAGATGAATCGTTCACCTGATTCTCGTACTGAGTGTACAATCTCTCAAACTCTGCACCCCAACAATCTGCCAAACCTGGAGCTTCATTAGGACAAAACAGTGACCACTGCCCATTAGTCTCGACCCTCTCCATGAAAAGATCGGGTATCCAAAGACCATAAAACAAGTCTCTAGCCCTATGTTCCTCCTGGAATGGAAAAAAGTATATTGTGAGCTATCTCATGTATTATAATGAGTAATATTTTCTTGGTGTAACTGTACCTTTCCATGATTCTTACGGAGTTCCAGAAAGTCAAAAATGTCAGCATGCCAGGGCTCCAGGTATACGGCAAAGGCACCTTCACCAATTGCGAAAAATATACGTAAGACAATCTAAACTATAATTACTTCACAGACAATCATGACAATAAGAGTAACGTATCCTGAAATGTATACCTTTTCTCTTGCCTCCTCCTTGGTCAACATAACGAGCAGTATCATTGAATACCCTCAGCATTGGAACAATACCATTAGATGCTCCATTGGTACCACGAATGTAGCTTCCAGTTGCACGGATGTTGTGAACTGAAACACCAATGCCCCCAGCCGATTTGCTTATAACAGCACACTCTTTCAATGTGTCATATATCCCCTCGATGCTATCATCCTTCATGCAGATCAGAAAGCAGCTACTTAACTGCATATTCAAACATTTACAACAGCACATCAGTCAAAGAATTGCAGATGCACGTACGGGTCTGGTTTAACATCATTATAGGTACATTACTTGAGCCCTTGGAGTTCCTGAATTGAAGAGAGTAGGAGATGCATGAGTGAACCATCGCTGAGACATTAAATGGTAAGTTTTGATAGCGGAATCAATATCTTCCTTGTGGATGCCAACAGAAACCCTCATCAGCATGTGTTGAGGCCTTTCAACCACTTTGCCTTGCACTTTTAAGAGGTATGATCTCTCAAGCGTTTTAAATCCAAAGTAATCATATTCAAAATCGCGATCATAGATGATTTCACTGTCCAGACGAGTAGCATGCTGAAATTAATCAGAGGAAACACAATTTAACAAGAGATGAGAGATTTTCAAAACCACAATTTCCATCACAAGAATGAAGGATTATAACACAATTTCGCTATTTTACCTTCATAATTATCTCGTATACATCATCAGCAATTAGAGGAGACGCGAGTCCAGATCTCTCATTGACATGACTGTACATGTCTCTAACCCTGAAGATTCCATCAAAGTCAACACATATGAATCCATAGTCACTGATACATACAGACAAATGTTTATAGATCACGAGAAGACTCACGTTTCAGAAAATGATTTCTTAGTGTTCTTATGGAGATTGGATACAGCAATCCTAGCCGCAAGCTGAGTAATATAAACATTGAAACATGTTAAATTATTCTCCAGAACAATCAATCAGATCAAGCAACAATTTCATCACTAAGAATGCAAATCCGTATAATTCAACATAGATATCAAAACGTAAATACGAAACAGAAGCAGATGAAAAAGGGAAAACTCACGGAAGCGTAATCAGGATGATTGGCCGTCATAGCAGCAGCAGTCTCGGCGGCTAACTCATCGAGTTGACTCGTGGTGACGCCTTTGTAGACACCGGCACAGACTTTCTGAGCGACAAGGACAGGGTCACAGTGATCGATACTAAGACCATAGCTAAGCTTCTTTAGGCGCGCAGTGATTTTGTCGAAGTGAACAGTTTCCTGCTTACCGTCACGCTTCACAACGTACATTTTTTGCTCTCTCAGGAATTCTATCGAACACTTGTTAGGCGTTTGATTTTCTTTGTGTTTCAAAATTATAGGGTTTCTTTAGTGATCTCCTTGGGTTTTTTTAGTTCTTTAATAGCCGAAGTTTTGACTTCTTTATCTCCCCGCGAAAATGTTTCAGATTTTC